TTGCGCTCATCGTGAGTACATGGGGTCATGTCTGTCTATTGCCATTACGCTCATCGTGAGTACATGGGGTCATGTCTGTCTATTGCCATTGCGCTCATCGTGAGTACATGGGGTCATGTCTGTCTATTGCCATTGCGCTCATCGTGAGTACACGGGGTCATGTCTGTCTATTGCCATTGCGCTCATCGTGAGTACACGGGGTCATGTCTGTCTATTGCCATTGCGCTCATCTTGAGTACACTTAACTAGGTCAAAGGTTAACGTTTCCAGGACGCACGTTCTGTAATTTAGCGTAGAAAAGAAAAACAACCCCAAAAAAGAAAAACCCATAGCTTATTGGTTCGAATCCTGTAGAGTTATGCTTTAAAGTAGTTCAAGAAACGTTACATAGTTTCACAAATTCCAGTTGATTACTTTTTTAAAAAGGGAAGAAAAGAAAAAAAAACCCCATAACTTCATACATTCCTGTAGATTTGTTTTTAGATTATTTTAAAAAAAAAAGAAAAAGAAAAAAAAAAGAAACAACTTTATAAATTAGTATAGATTCGTTTTTAGAGTACTTCAAAAACTTGAGCATATATTCCAAATTTCCGATAGATTATTTTCCCTTTCTGTTTTCTTTCTCTAGTTCTAAAGCTGTGATTAAAAGACAAGGAAAAAACAAGTTGAAATTACGTTACAGCAATCAAATGTTTAGTTTGGATTGCATCGAAATCATCGTACCCTTTTGACAAAGTTCAAAACAAAACTTTTTTTACATGATTTATTTTCCTCCTTTTCTTCCAGGAAAACTCCTCAGTGACCAGCCTTGACCTTGAAGACAACGGCCTTGGTCTTGAGGGAGTGAGTCACATCGGCGAGATGCTTCTGGAGAACACCTTCATTGTAGACCTGGTAAAGAAATCAGCAGTTCGCTAATCTAGAATTACGAAGTTCTGTATGCTCAGTTTTGAGAAATGTGGCGTTAAAATGTTTGAGTTTCGCCATATGTCAAGCTTAAAAAAAACCCTAATAGTAGAGAGTTTTACGGCGCTCGCAACTGCATAAGGTCATATGAGCGCCAAGGGGTGGGTGTCAAAAGAGAAGTTTTTACAGGGAATCAGACTTAGACTGCTCACCTCTCTAGCTTCAACAGCACAAGGTCCGCTTCGACTATCAAGGCACCCCAAAATAGCGGGTCACGAGAAAGTTACAAACATACAAAAGAAGTAGAGGAAAATGACAACAGTAAGGATCAGGAAAGAAAAAGCAGCAGTTCCCTGTTGTAGATCATGCACAATTATTAGCGTGATATGAGTCAGCCCATTTACAATTCTACTATTCTTGAACGAGAAATGTCCCCCCTTTGGGAAATGCCTAAAGACACTTCAGTCAGTGGCACTGCTTTGTTTTTCGAATGCAATTCTTTGAGTATCTTGAGAACAACTTTGTATAATCTTACGATTTTGTGATTTTGATAGAGTAGAACAAAAGATTTCTGTACTCATGGTCTTACTTAGTAACTCACAATACCCCCACACGTCAGTTAGAACGTTGTGATACTTTGGTAG